ATAACCCTTTACTCTTTTTTTTCTTATTTAATCGTCTTTTTAATCTTTTGTCTTTTTAATCTTTTCTTTTTCTATTTTGTTTATAATTGCATTTTTTTTTTTTTTTATTGTAATGCACATTCTTCACACGCGTTCGTTATTTGTGTTTATATTAATTTCATTTGTATTGTTTCAAGAAATTTGTGTATAATAAATTTCATTAAACATTGTACATATATTCTTTTCTATCGTTTTTCTTTTTTGCTGTGTCTTATCATTGTTTATAATACCATTAAACCGCGAAAAATTTTACTAATAAACACGGTTGCGCCGCAGTAATGAGGACATCTGATAAAAATTGTGATTGGGCATGATTCAATCCGATTAGAGTGGACGGGGAAATGTGTGATGTGTATATATGTGCAAACAACGCCAGGGCAGAGGATAGGATCGATTTAAGAGATCAATTAGCCAATCAAAAATCAGGATCACGTGTAACGTAAAAATATTTCAAAACAAACGTTCGCGTTTATCTCAAACAAAAAAAAAAATCCCTTGTGCAATTTTACTATAAGAACGCTTTCTAATCCGAACCCTAACGTAAGTGAATTTTTTTGTTTGACTTCGGACGATCACGTGAACGGAAAATCAATTACCCAACATCACGCAAGTGACAATTTGCTAAAAATATATCGATATACCTACAACTAACTCAATGCTAACCCTAACCTTATGTGAGGGTAAAGAAAGTGAGAATCAACGAATTTCACCTATATATGAATCAACGAATATCACTTATATATGTGTGGGAAAAAATTTTCTTCACAAAATTAAATTTCAAATTCATCGAAATTAAAGATGTCGGAAAAAAATAATTATACGTTGAGTGAAAAAGAAAAGGCTCTTGCAGGACTTCCATACTTATCTAATACTGAAGAACTTATTAATGACCGACTTAAAACTAGAGAAATGCTTTATGAATTTAATAATTCTAGACCAGTTCGTCGTGATACTGTTGAATATCGTGAGGGCAGGGAAAAAATGATTCATCAATTATTTGGTAGTGTTGGTAAAGATGTTGAAATCGAACCGCCATTCTATTGTGATTATGTATGTAAGCTTTGCCAGTATTTAATTATCCACAAAATAGACAAATAGATTAACCGATATTATTTCTTTACATGTAGGGATATAATATTCATGTTGGAGATAATTTTTATGCTAATTTTAACTGTACAATATTGGATGGTAATAAAGTTGAAATTGGTGATCGTGTTATGTTTGGTCCAAATGTTTCACTTTATCCTGCAACTCATCCTTTACAGCCTGAAGAAAGAGCAAAAGGCCCTGAATCTGCTCTTCCCATAAAGGTATTAAAAGTTACTATGACATTTTTTTTAAAAATAAAGTTTTAATATTTATTTTATAAATTTATTAGATTGGAAATGATGTATGGATTGGCGGTGGAGCCATTATTTGTCCCGGAATTACCATTGGGAATGGAGTAAGTGTTAATATTTTCCTTTCAAAATGGCACAGAATTTACTAATTTCTTTAATTTATATGGGATTAGGTAACTGTTGGTGCAGGATCTGTGGTATAATATTTAAAATAGTGAATTTGAAACAAATTATCTTGTTTTAATGAAATTAATAAGATTTAATCCTTTTTTAGGTTACTAAAAACGTTCCATCATATGTAGTTGTCGCTGGTAATCCTGCTAAAATTATTAGGTATTTAGAAAAGAAAGGGGAAG